TACATAAAGTTAATTTGTAAATGCTGATATGAAGTCAATAAATCATTGGTCAGATGAGAAAGGGAAATGTAAATAAAATGAAGATATTTTCTTAGTACAAGTGTATATATGCACAAACGTTTTTTTTTTGAGACGGAGTTTCACTCTTGTTACCCAGGCTGGAGTGCAATGGCGCGATCTCGGCTCACCGCAACCTCCGCCTCCTGGGTTCAGGCAATTCTCCTGCCTCAGCCTCCTGAGTAGCTGGGATTACAGGCATGCACCACTATGCCCAGCTAATTTTTTGTATTTTTAGTAGAGACGGGGTTTCACCATGTTGACCAGATGGTCTCAATCTCTTGACCTTGTGATCCACCCACCTCGGTCTCCCAAAGTGCTGGGATTACAGGCTTGAGCCACCGCGCCCGGCCCCACAAACGTTTTTAACAAAAGAAGGAGGAAATACTCATGACAATTACAGTCCCAGTTTCTGCAGCTGATCATGTGGTTGTGGCTGGTATTGAAGACTACCTTCTTCTACTACCCATTCTGTATTCCTTTTGCCTTCAGCAAGCACCTCAGCAGGTTGTGTTTTTTTTTCCTGGTGGAGTGACCCAAACCTTCATTCCTGAAGGTCTGAGCCATTTGTAGTCCTGCCTGGATTGGGCTAATGTAGTTTCCCATTAACCTTAAACACAGGGCATGGTAATACTAAGAGATGTTCTAATGGATTTCTTGTATTCCATCCATAATCTTCCTTACCTCCATTGTGGAGTAGTAGACTGATTTCATCTTGATAATCTGGATGAGTCATCCCAGCTGACACTGTAACTCCCTTCTTAGCCTGTTGACTTAAAGGTAAGAGGAGCCCAAAGTGTCCAGGTGGCAATCTTAACTTCCAGTTTAATGGGATCATTGTTGTGGCTCCTGGTAGCAGTGTTCCTCCCTCTGGATCTAAGACACAAATGCTACTGCGTATGACCCACTTTATGGCTAGGTGGGTCAGAAAGCACCCCAGTTCATGATAGGCAGTTCAGGTTGCATGGTGACTTGATGACTCTTAGTCAAATGTTCAGTTTCCACCAAAGCCTAGTAACAGTCCAAGAGCCATCTCTCGAAAGGATAATAATTATCTGCAAAAGTTGGCCAATAATTCTAGTGTGTTTACTACTTCTTGCTCACTGGATCCAATTAGCATAATGTCGTCAATGTAATGGACCAGTGTGATATCTTATGGAAGTGAAAAGCAATCCAGGTCTCTCTGAATAAGATTATGACACAAAGCCAGAGAGTTGATGTACTCCTGAGGTAGGACAGTAAAGGTATATTGCTGGCCTTGTCAGCTGAAGGCAAATTGCTTCCAGTGGGCCTTATGAACAGGAATGGAGAAAAAGGCATTTGCCAAGTCAATAACTGCATACCAAGTACCAGGAGATGTGTTTATTTGCTCAAGCAATGAAACTACACCGGGTATGGCAGCTGCAATTGCAGTCACCACTTGGTTAAGCTTATGATAATCCACTGTCATTCTCCAAGATCCATAGTCTTCTGCACAGGCCAAATGGGAGAGTCGACCAGGGTTGTAGTGGGAATCACCACCCTGTGTCTTTCAAGTCCTTGATGGTTTCACTAATCACAATTTCTCCAGAGATGTGATATTGTTTTTGATTTACTATTTTTCTAGGTAGAGGCAGCTTTAATGGCTTCCATTTGGCCTTTCCCACCATAGTAGCCCTCACCCTACCAGTCAGGGAGCCAAGATGGGGGTTCTGTCAGCTGCTAAGTATGTTTATGCCAATTATGCATTCTGGCACTGGGGAAATGACCACAGGATGAGTCTGGGCACCCACTGGACCTACTGTAAGTTGGACCTGAGCTAAAACTCCATTAACCTGACCTCCATAAGCCCTTACTTTAATTGGAGGACCACAGTGACGTTTTGGGTCCTCTGTAATCAATGTCAACTCAGAGCCAGTGTCCAGTAGTTCCTGAAATGTCTGATCATTTTCCTTTCTCCAGTGCCCAGTTACCCTGGTAAAAGGATGGAGGTCCTGATTAGAAGTTGCAGGGTCCCATTGTTTTCCAATCAATGCCCTCACTTTAACTGTAGACACGTGGCGAAGCTGTGCATGCACCTTTCATTGCAGGACAGCCACTCACATGATATGAGCTTGTGTCTGTTTTTCCACAGGAGGTAAAGACTCTCACTCAGGGCAATCTTAGCAGATTTGAGGCTCCGTATCTGCTCCTGAAGCCAGGAGACAGAATCCCTGAGTTCATCATTTTCTTTCACTACTTTTTCCTCTGAACTTAGGAGCAACCAGTCAGCTTCATTATGTTTTGACACTTGGGTTGTTTCCATGTTCTAACCAGTATTAATAGTGCTGCTGTGAACATGAGTGTACAAGTATCTCTTTGAAACTCCACTTTCAAATCTTTTGAGCATATGCCTGTAAGTGAAATTGCTGAATCATATGGTCATTCTGTGTTAAATTTTTTGGAGAACTACCATGGTGTTTTCCACATCTGCTATCTGTTTTTTGCATCGAATGTTCCATATATATCTGTTAGATGTAATAGTTGATTTATTGTGTTGTTTAAGTCCTCTGGTTGTTCTATTCATTATTGAGATTAAGACATTGAAGTCTCCAATTGCTACTGTACAACTTTCTATTTCTTCCTTTAATTCAGTTAGTTTATGCTTCATGTATTTTGATGGTCTGTTTATTAAGTGTATAGATGCTTATAAGTGTTATATCTTTTCGATATATGGAAGCTTGTATTAATACAGACATATCTTGGATATATTGTGGGTTTGGTTCCAGACCACCATATATGGAAATATTGCAATAATGTGAATCACATGAATTTTTTTTTGGTTGAGCAGTGCATATAATAGTCATGTTTACATTATACTACAGTATATTAAGTGTACAATGTCATTATATCTGAAAAATGCCATTTTTTATATGGGAGTGGTTCATGGTACCCCAAAACAATTCCCATAATAACAGCAAAGATTATGGATCACAGATTACTATAACAGACAATAATAATGAAAAATTTTGAAATATTGGGAGAATTACCAAAATATGACAGACATGAAGTGAGCACATGTTGTTGGGAAAATGGCACGAATAGACTTGCTTGACATGGGATTTCCACAATCTACAGTTTTGAAAAATACAATATCTGCAAAGCATAATAAAGCAAAGCACAATAAAACAAGGTGTACCTGTATATAGTGTTCTTGTCTCTTGTAACCTTTTTTTGATTTAAAGTCTATTTAATTCGATGTTAGTATAGCTGCTCTTGCTGTCTTTTTTGGTTATTATGTGCATGTAATATCTTTTTCTGTCCTTTTACTTTCAACCTATTGGTCTTTAGATCTAAAATGAGACTCTTGTAGACAGCATGCAGTTGGATCATATATCTATCCAGTCTCTGCTTTTTGATTGGAGGGTTTAAGCCACTTACATTTTTATTTTGCTTTGCTATCTGTTTCCTGTGCTTTATGGTTTTTATTCCTTGTCTTCTTTACTGTCTTTTGTGTTTCATTGATTTTTGTTTGTGTTGAAATGTTTATGTTCCATTCTCATTTTCTTTTTGTGTATTCTAGAACTGATTTTTTGTTTTTCACAGGAATTATATTTAACATTCTAAGATTGTAACACTGTTTTATTTTATTTTTATTTTTTTAGACACAGGGTCTCACTGTGTTGCCCCAGTTGGAGTTCAGTGGTGCAATCATAGCTCACTGTAACCTCAAACTCTCAGGCTCAAGTGATCCTCCTGCATTATCCTCCTGACTAGCTAGGAATACAGGTGGTCACCACTGATCACAGCTAATTTTTAAAGTTTTCATAGAAATGGGGTCTCACTGTGTTGCCCAGGCTGGTCTTGAACTCCTGGACTCTTGCTATTCTCCTGCCTTGTCCTCCCAAAGTGCTGGGATTACAGGCGTGAGTCACCACACATGTTCCTGCAATTTCATTTTATGCCACTTTAACTTAAAAAAAATTTAGAAGACCTATGTTGCTTTACAGCTCTATCCCCAGCCTTTTCAATTATTGACATTACAAATTTATATGTTGTTCACCCCAAAATGTAAACTAATAATTCTTTAAAATGCATTGGTTTCTTAAATTACATAGAAAATATGTGGGGTCACAAATGAAAATTATAATAATAGCTTTTAGACTAATTTTTAAAAAACTTATTAGTCTATAAAATCATGTAGGAAACAGTCACATACTAATTATTGCAAAAATACTAGCTTTTATAATTTCACATGTATTTGCCTTTATTGAGTCTTTTTGTTGTTGTTGTTTAATTTCTTTTTTTTTTTTTTTTTTCCTTTTTCCATATGTTCTAAGAGTCTTTATTTTTTAACATGTCTTCAGGTTACTGTCTAGTGTACTTTCATTCTACAGAATTCCCTTGACCATTTTTTACAGAGAAAGTTTAATGATAACCAACTCCCTCAGCTTTTGTTTACCTGAGAATGTTGTAATTTCTCTCTCACTTTTTTTATTTTTTAATTTTTGTTTTATTTTAATTTTCTCCAGCTACATCCCTTTGATCATCTCCCTCACTTTTAAAGGACGGTTTTGCAGGATATAAAATTCTTGGTTGACTGATTTTTTTTCTTTTCTTTCTTTTTTTTCAGGATTTGGTATGTTTTATTAAGCAAATTTTTAGAAAAGATGGCTTTTATCTACAGAATTTAATAAAAAAGGCTTAATGGTTATCCTTGAGTCCATGTGGTTTGGGGACTGTCCAAACCACATGGACTCAAGGATAACCATTAAGCCTGTTAATGTATTTTCTTATTTTCAGTTTACATACAAAGTGTTTTTTTTTTTTTTTTTTGCTTCACATTTATAAAAACTCCAATATTGTAAATGACAAACCCTCCTGTCCCTTAATGAAATATACAAACATCTTGATAAACATGAAATTTAAATTGGTTTAATCTTGAAGTGTAATCCAATGAGACTGAAAACTAAACATTTCAAGTCTTATGTGATATAGAAAAATACTTGAAGACCTTCAGGATCCTTTGACTGATTTACATCAATAAGAGAACCTATTTTTAATGTGGCAAAAGATATGTGTTTATCTCCAATGACAATTTCAAGCTCCTGTCGGCCAACCCTGTCAGGGGGAGGCCACAAAGCCTCATCTTCTTTTATAATTTCACTGTCATCAATAATTCTTTTCAGTTCTTCCATTACAATCTTGTGCACATTAGCCTCTTTTCGGATGATGACATCCTTTTTGTAATTGCTGTTGTTGGCATATCTAAGCTTTACATCTGGCTGAAATTCGAACTCCAGAAACTCATGCCCAAACTTGCCCTTGTGCTCTACATAGTAGTGCAGGTAGAAATTGCCAGCCATAGACATTTTTGTTCCTGGTAAGCCTGCCAAAAACCCAGCCCTTTTTTCTTTTCTTTTATCACTTTGACTATAATCTGCTCACTGACTTCTGGCCTCCACACTCTGGTGAAAAATCTGCTGATCATTTTATTGAATATCCCTTGTATGTGACCAGTCACTTTTCTTTGCTGCTTTCAAGATATTCTCTCTTTCTTTGTCTTTTTACAGCTTGGTTATAATGTTTCTCTATGTGGATCTCTGAGTTCATCTTGGAGTTCTTTGAACTTCTTGGATTTTTTTTTTTTAAGATGGAGCTTTGCTCTTTGCTCAGGCTGGAGTGCAATGGGGCGATCTCAGCTCACTGCAACCTCTGTCTCCCGGATTCAAGCGATTCTCCTACCTCAGCCTCCCAAGTAGCTGAGATTACAGGCATGTGCCACCATGCCTGGCTAATTTTTTACATTTAGTAGATACAAGGTTTCACCATGTTGGTCAGACCAGTCTCGAGCTCCTGACCTCAGGTGATCCACCTACCTTGGCCTCCCAAAGTGCTGGGATTATGGGCATGCACCACTGCACCTGGTCACTTCTTGGATGTTTTATACTCATGTCTTTCATCAAATGTGGGATGTTTTAACACTTTATTCCTTCAAATATTCTCTCTACTTCTTTCTCTCTTTTGCTATTGACAGTGTCCCACAGTTTCCTTACATTTTTTTGTTGTTGTTGAAATGGAGTCTCCCTCTGTCACACGGGCTGGACTGCAGTGGCACAATCTTGGCTCAGTGCAACCTCCACCTCCAGGTTCAGGCAGTTCTCCTGCCTCAGCCTCCTGAATAGCTGGGATTACAGGCACCCACCACAATGCCCAGCTAATTTTTTTATTTTTAGTAGAGACAGGGTTTCACCATGTTGGCCAGGCTGGTCTTGAACTCTTGATCTCAAGTGATCCACTTGCCTTGGCCTCCCAAAGTGCTGGGATTACAGGCATGAGCCATCATGCTCAGTTAGTTTCATTACATTCTGTTCACTTTTCTCAATCATTTTTCTTTTTATTTCTCAGACTTGATAATTTCTATTGTCCTATATCCAAGTTTGCTGATTTTTCTCTCTGCCTACTCAAATCTGCCTTTGAATTCCTCTAGTGAATTTTTCACTTTAATTTTTGTACTTTTCACTTCTAGAATTCATTTTCGGTTTTCTTTTAGGCTTATTTCTTTTTATTAATATTTCTATTGTGTTCATGTGTCATTTTGTTGACTTTCTCCACATCTTTCTTTAGCATTTTTAAGATAATGTTTGGAAAGTCTGTATAGTACTTCTACCCTCAGATTTTATTTTCAAGGATAGTGTCTATTGATTATTTTTTATTTCACTAGGCCATTCTATTTTTCTTGTATGCTTTGTGCTCATTTGAACCTAATAATGTAGTAACCACCAAAGTCAGATTCTCCCTCTACCCCAGGGTTTGCAGGCTTTTTTGTTATTGTTTATTTATTTATTTATTCATATTTTTGTAGGCTATCTCTGTTCCAGGGATCAACTTGAGGTATAAACTTAAGGTCTTCTCAGTTTGTTTCTGGGTCTGAAGCTTTCTATGGATATATGCAGTCTCTTCCAGAATTTCCCCTTATATGCAGTTATTGGTCAATATCTAGTCTTGATTGTCTGGCTCTTAGAAAGGGGAAATGGAGAAAATAAAGGTGGGGATAAAAGGGGCTCTGGCTTTTTAAATCCCCTGGAAATCACTTCAACTGGAGGAAGCAGGGTTTTCAAAAGCATATGCATGTGTAACTACAGTGGCTGCCTGACTCTTTGTCTACGCTCTGTCATAAGCAGCAGCAATCAGTGATCAACACACAGATCCCTTATGGTTGGAAGACATAGTCCTGTTTTTTGCTCTCTCTGGCTTCCATAAGCTGTGTAAGCTGCTCTGGTTTTATACTCACATGACTGCCTGCCAGGGGATTGCAGGTGAAGGAATGGGTAGCTGCTGCTACATTAAGAGCTGAAATTTACTAAAATTAATCACAGTTTACCATCAAAGTCCTTCTCCAAGCCTTTCTCTGGATTTGCCAGCCTTCTTTAGACTCAGAGTTTCAAAATAGTTATATCAGAGAGATTCTGCCAGTGAAATTGTTATATAAGTGGAGAGATGGAATTTTGGTACTTCCTATTCTGTCATCGTCTCAAAACCCTCTCCTTTAAATATATTTTAATATTCCCTTTTAATTTATTTCATTCATGTTTTGTTATATTTGTGTTATTTTTTATTGTCTGTTCTATGGATTGTAACATACATAACCTAACTTTTTTTTTTTTTTTCCTGTGACTTGCCTTGGAAACATAACATAACTTTTAACAGTCTATTTTAGATTTGGTACTTTACACTGCAATTATAGTCTCATAGTCCTATAACCACATGGATCACTTCCCCTCCCTGCTATATGTGGTAGTTTTCTTGTGAATTGTATTCACATGTATGTGCTGAAAAACTCCCTTAGTCCAGTCTGGGCAACAAAGGAAGAAGACCCTATGTCTACAAAAACAATAACAAAATTAGCTTATTGTTGTGGGTGTACGTGTAATCTCAGATACTTGGGAGGCTGAGGTAGGAGAATTATTTGAGCCCAGGAGTTTGAGGGTACAATGAGCCATGATTGTGCTATTGCACTCTAACATGGGAGACTGAGCAAAACCCTGTCTCAAAAATAATAATAATAATAACCCCATTAGATAATGTTATAATTTTTTATTTCAATCGTCATACATACTTTAAACAACTTAAGAAAAGGCTAATAGTTTGCCATATATATCCAGATTTTTAATGTTTCTGTTGCTCTTCTTGATATGGAGCCTTTTTAGGACATGTAGCATATATCATGGCTCATTTCCCATAAGTACTGAAACGTACATTTTTATTTTATTTTACTTATTTTTTATTTTATTTTATTTTTTTGAGACAGAGTCTCACTCTGTCATCCAGGCTGGAGTGGAGTGGCGAGATCTTGGCTCACTGCAACCTCCGCTTCCCAGGTTCAAGTGATTCTCCAGCCTCAGCCTCCCTAGTTGCTGGGACTATAGGCATGTGCCACCATTCCTGGATACTTTTTGTAGTTTTAGTAGAGACAGGGTTTTGCCATGTTGGCCAGGCTGGTCTCAAACTCCTGACCTGAAGTGATCTGCCCACTTCAGCCTTCCAAAGTGTTGGGATTACAGGCATAAGCCACCAGCCTGGCCTTATTTTATTTATTTTGAGATGGAGTCTTGCTCTGTCACCCAGGCTGGAGTGCAGTGGTACAATCTCAGCTCACTTCAGCCTCTGCCCCCTGGGTTCAAGTGATTCTCCTGCCTCAACCTCCTGAGTAGCTGGGATTACAGGTGTGTACCACCACACCCAGCTAATTTTTTTGTATTTTTAGTAGAGATGGGGTTTCACGATGTTGACCAGGCTGACCTCGAACTCCTGACCTCAAGTGATCCACCCACCTTGGTTTCCCAAATTGCTGGGATTATAGACATGAGCCACTGCACCTGGCTCAAATGTGCATTTTTAAGTTTAGAGATATTCCCTTATATAATTATAGTGTGGTGATCGACTTCATAAATTAACATTGATATGATACTTTTATCTAATAGGCTTTTCATATGCCAGTTTTCTTAGTTGATCTCATAATAGATTGCATTTTCTTCCTCCCTGAATTACATAATCCATTCTAAAGTCAAATGTTGCATTTAGTTGTCATGTCTCTTTAGTTTCATTTAATCTGGAGTTACTCCCTAGCCTTTCTTGGCCAATTTTCACTGTGTCATCTTTTAAAAAGCTTTTCCTGCAACCAGCCTGAGCCTGAATTACATAATCCATTCTAAAGTCAAATGTTGCATTTAGTTGTCATGTCTCTTTAGTTTCATTTAATCTGGAGTTACTCCCTAGCCTTTCTTGGCCAATTTTCACTGTGTCATCTTTTAAAAAGCTTTTCCTGCAACCAGCCTGAGCAACAGAACAAGACTCCATCTCTGCAAAAAGTTTAAAAAAAAAAAGTTAGCCTGGCATAGTGGTGTATGCCTATACTTTCTAGCTACCTGGGGGACTGAGGCAAGAGGATCATTTGAGGCTGCAGTGAGCTGTGATCATGCTGCTGCATTCCAGCCTGGGCCATAGGGCAAGACTTATCTCTTACAAAAAAAAAAAAAGTTATTTCCACTTTTTTGTTTGTTTCATTTTTTTCTTTCTACTTTTTTTCCCAATAAAATGTTTTTTATTTTGTCTTTGATCTTCTATTGTGATCAGTTGATTCTATGCCTTCTTAGACAAATTCTGTATAGATATTTTGTCCTTCTCTTCATAGCTGTCCCCCATAGGTGATATTAAGTTTGTTCACTCAGTGAAACTGTTGTATTTCTCCACTATATGATAACTGTTTTTCCTTGCATCTAACACACAGTCTGTGGGGACACACTTGATGACTACACACTTATTACTCTTTATTAATATTTCTTCCTCTATTTAGCATCTACTAATGATTCTTGCCTTATCTACTCTCTACTATGATGTTTGTAAAATGATGATTTTTCAACTCTAGCACTTCCTCCACATTTCTCAGAAGGTATTTGGCATTATGCTTAAGAAACAGATCACCATTCTTTTTGTATGTATATGTATACATATTTATTATATGTATGGATTCATTCATTTTTTTTCCCAATGATTTATAATTTTTGACTCTTTTTATTTATTTTGGTGCTCAGAGTATCCCAGATATGATCAGAGGGAATCTCTTTAAGCTGGCTCCTGAATCCATGTGTTAATTCCTCATTATATTTTTGAGCACTTTGTTATATTCTGGCATTAGAAGATTTTCCAAGCTCACAATATACCTGTCCTCCTTAGGTGTAGATTCAGTAACTTACCTGAGGAACCATTTTCTTTTAGTGGGAAGTGGTATTAGAGACAGATCTGACACTAGGTCTGCTCATTGCTGTTGGAGTGTCTTTGCTTCTTCTTGGTTCTTTCAACAAACAGTATTAGAAAATATGTATTTCTACATATTTATACATTTATA